GAAATTCATTATTTGTGTTTGCCTAATAATTACGACGGTAAGCGACCACGACAAGCAACACGAAGAACAACAACACCGCTCAATGGCGTTGCTTTAGTTGGTTAGTTGGACTAAGCGCACGGACTAGGCAGTGCGTTGGGCGTGCGAGCGTTTGTCATAAAGTCTGCAAACTAAGCCAGTGCGGCGCGCACGCTCACAAAGTAAGAAAGTTTGTACAAATGGTTGTGTGTTGTACCGCCTTTGCCAATGCCTTTGAAGAGCCGCGCGAATGGCAATTGGTGTTGGTAGTATTCATTTTGCTCGCTGTTGCTGTTGTTGGTACGCCTGCTTTGCAGCCTAATAGGTTCATAAACGAGATGATCGATAGCCCACACATTGTTGCCATTGCAGCTGCCACGTTCGTATGCAAGTGTGCGCACATATTTATAATAGGCGCGCGAATATTTTCAACACCTTGCCGCCGCACTCGCGCTCAACGCAGCGCCGGAATATCGGCGTGGCTTTGCGGCTCAGCGCTTCAATGAAATCGCAGTAAAAGACGCAAAGACTGCATTCTTATGAAGAATAAAAGGAAAAAACGCGGCCAGCTGCAGCACTAACGCAGATATGTACGTATAGTTGAGCTGTGTATTAGAATAGTATTTCCTAGAACTGCCACAACTGGCATACCGTCAAAGACTTGGGAATGTAAATGTCATAGTTGTTGGCACTATTTTAGCGCACCACCAGCAATACAGTTTTCTTTTCCTAATAGAAACATACTGCCACACACACACTTATATATAATACACATACTGATATTTACATAATACGCTTTTACCTTTCGGCATAGTATTTGTCCAGGGCATACAAATAGACATGGCTTATACACACAAATAAAACAACGTGGATCTGGATTCCTATGACAGGCGGCAAGGTTATGGTTCGCTGCCACTTACAATGAGTGCGTGCATGAGAACGATGAGCGTTTGTATACCCCGCGAGACATTTTAAAATTATCTAACAACATTTGATTAACACTTGAGTAACGTGGGAAATGTTCTTTCAGCTGAGGTTTAGTTCCAATTTATTTATGCCTTGCAATTTGTTACTAGATAACATCCAGCAAAATAAATAATTGAAACTAAATCGTAAAAAGTAAATTCGAATCAAGCGAGTACTATATGTCGGAAAGATGTATAAACCCTTTCTTCACGCAAAAAATGATAAAGAAAATGTTATTTGGCTCGGAAAGAAGAATTTCTGCACCAAAAAAATAAATAAAATGCGTAGAGGACATATTAGCGTTAGACTGTTTGAACTAACGTTTGGCTGTGAAAATATTTTGCAATAAAATATAAAAATGTTTTTTTGACAACTTCATCACCCATTGCGCGCTTTCCGACAGGGTTCGCAAAACTTTAAAATATATTGCGCAGACACTTATACAATAAATAGCTGTTTTGTTGTAGGTAGATGCGCTACGCTTGCTATCATTGTCACTGCATTAGCAACAGCGAGGCAGAAGTGCCGTGCGGAAACTTTTTCCCTTTAAATAGAGCTTGAAAAAGCTAGAAAAGAGAGGGCGATAAATATGCCTAAAGGGGATAGGGGAACGCGTTAAGTGAGCACATGGATAAGCTGTGGACTGGATGGAATGACGGGAGCGGCAGACATTTCGGCGGTCGTATGTAAAGCACTTACACATACATACACATATGTATATACGGCAAACTAAAAAGCTCATGAGCGCTGCTCCGTCAGACAATCAGTCGCTTGTCAAACACTGTTGATGACTCGCTTAAATAGTTAGTAAAGTCATCAAAAATGTGTGTCTTTCAAATACACAAAGCAACATTTATGTATATTCTTAGGAAAAATTTACTTAGTATGTGCTAAGTTGTAAGCTGACTGAGTTGAGCTAAGCAAAGACATACGTCTCAATTTTGAGAATTCGCTACGCCTTATAAACGCTCGGCGCGTACATAAAATAGAGCTATCTATATAAATATGAGTAAGCTGTGCGAATAATTTCTAGGCGAGTGAGCGATAGATGAACCGCAGCGCGAAATGAGCAGTGTGTTGGGGGGCAGTAAGGAAAGTACCTATAATATATCTACTTCATGGAACGCATCCTAGAAATAAACTTCTACTTATCTTACATACCTAAATAGTTGCAAAACCATATATAAAACCAAGTGGCAACGCTGTGGCCCTTAGCTGTGCTGTAGAAACGAGCAATGGCAACAAGAGTCATTGCGGCGGTTAAAGTTATGTGTTGTGGCGTTTTATTGCACGCGCAAATGTAAACAATCCAATGACAGCAATTGCAACAGCAAGGCGACAAAGGCAAAGCGTATGTGTACATTATAAATAGCGAACTGAAAAAACCCAAAACGGCAACAGCAACAACAACAGTGCTAAGCGCAAGCATTAAACAAGCGCTAATAAGATAGCGCGGCAGCTTATCTCGCTCGATTATTGCCCGCGAGCGTTGATAACACCAATGCCAGCCAACAGAAACCGTCGCGGCGCTGGTGTTTGGGCAACGCGTTAACCGCTGTCAACGGCAAATGTCAATTGTAATTGACACATGACGACCGAGTGACACGCACGGCGCTGCAACGAACGACATACACACGCACGCGCCCTTACCACTGTTGTTGGTATGCGCGGCGCTGGGATCTAGCCCCAACGGCTGCGCTGCTTTCGCTTTCAACGTTGTAGTTAGGTGCGGCATTTCGCCTAGTTGCATGGTCGAGCGGGGTAATCGAGTTATGGCGGTGCTATGCGGCATATTGGTAAGCAAACAAGCAGCCCGTTTGATTAGGTGTTGAACAATCAAACTTCAAAGGCATTTGTGCCGGCAATTTGTCATTAATGTCATATAGACAAGATCGCCGTTGTCGGAAATTACAGCGCATACGGCGTCGCTGGCAGCGATTCGCACAGCGGCGGCGCAGTCGCCTTAGTCGTGGCAAATTATATGTGATGGCGGCTAATCTGATAAAAGAGATATGAATGAGACGTGAGCTGAAGTGGATCAACATAACCAATAAATTCCCAATTGCACCATTACCTTATGGCGACGCCTTTGATCTTCAGCGCCCCCACAAATAGTTTTATGCGTGCTTATAGTCATATTCATCTTTTTACACACTCACGTGGGCATTTGATATACATATTATGTTAGTATGTTTGTAGGAGATTTCACCTTCGTTTCGTTGGTGGTTAATGAGATTACGTTAATTGAGTTTTAAGTGTTGACATTGCCCCTAAGTACATATTACAAATATCGACAGCAAATGTCTGTTATGTGTCCAAGGATTAAAGCAAGCTGTGTGCCCTTGGAATTTTTGGGTTTTATGCAAATTTAAGGTTAATAAAAACTTTGTGTTCTTGGAAATTTATTTGTTAAATCGTTGTTATTGTAGTGTGTTAGCTTAATAAATCTCAATAATGTTACTTATTTTTAGCGATTATTGAGCACTTTTCTATGAGCTTAGTTTGTTTAAAGCAAATTGGGGATATGCTTTATAAATAAGAACGCTAAATTCGCGCGAAATAGTAATCTCGAAAATAAGAAAAATTAAGTGGTTTGTAAAAAATATATAACACCAAATGTGAGCTCAGAAAGCAACCACAGTCGGATCTGAATAACCGGAACGGACCCAGATTTTTATTTAGCCAAGGATTATTAACCTGACAGCCTTCCACAATATAATTTAGTGAATACCTTTTGCTGCTACAACAACAATAAAGTTTTATATAGAACGTAAAGATAACCAGAGAGTCCAAATTATAAAATTGTGCACATGGCAAGAAAGTGGTAGGGCCGATTTCAGCTATTTGGTTAGGTTAGAGGGTCGATCCCAAGAAAGATCACACTTGAATAGCTTAAACGTCGGTTCGTTGTGGTACCCAAAAGTCCTATGAACTGTATCAATAGACCCTTACATGTCGACAAAGCGCTTTGTGCCTATGACAAGCTATTTGGTACTAAACCACAATGTGCTCGGAGAAAAATTCCGAACGAAACATATTTAGATGTTAACCGATACATAAAAATCATCTAGCAGAAAATTACACTTGGCGCACGTTTTAGACTTTTCTCGAAGTGAGTGAGTACAGTGCTTAGAACCACCGACAATCAGCAACGCCTTAAGGAGCTATTAAAGAACATTATCAAATAACGTTCAGTGCAACTTTAATTTTATGTCAGCACTCGAAATATATTGCTATTTTTCGGCTGCTTTCATGCAAATGTGTTGAAATCATTTTACATCACTCACCACCACACCATATTCAAATAATAGTCATTGGAAAACGTAAGTTCACACAAACGATTACTATAGAGTAGTATTTAGGCAACTCGGCCACACAAGGGTTAAAGAAATGACAAGTTATAAACTAAATTGCATTGCGTGGTATTTACCGCCACGACTTCATAGTTCTATAAATTTATATATTTACCTATCACACTCATATAATTAAGCCGAAGCTATTGGTGGTATCACACGTGCCGTTGATTTACAAGCACTCAAACATACAGACGAGTGCATATGAGTGCATTTCACCGAAACTAATTTCGTTTTAATCTTTGTAAATATTTATTTGCGTTTATTAAACGAAAACAAATAGCTAATCGAGTGCTGGAAAATATTCCCATAAACATGACAAGTTTCAGCGTAAATTCTAGTATAAACTATTGTTTACCGTCGAATGTCAAACATTTTGTCGGCATATCTAAATCAACTCATTCGCTCGTCAACTGATAAGCGAACGCATTCAAACAGCTAAGCCAAAGCACATAACTATGTATTATGTATATATATATGTACTCATGTATGTAAGTAACTGAAGGTATGTAGGTATAATCTATACATATTAATGCGAACCCATAGTTACTGCCCCATTAAAAAAGGTAGTTATTTATATACTACGAGCGCACCTATGTTTGTATATACATACGCACGAGTAGTAACGAGAAAACCAAATGAGTAAATGAAAATTCAAGGGCGTTCAAGTCAATGTGTGAAGTTAGATTTTTATTCAAATACACGAAATCGGACAGATAATGCAACTTCACAGATAGTAAATTCCGGAATACTTATACCAAAATACTAAAAAAATTTAATTTATATGTTTTTATATTATTGTATGTTTAGTTAGTATTTGCGATATCCTTAAAGTTGAAAGAGCAAAATAAAAAAAATTTAACTTAAACTTACTTTGCTAGTTTACTTAATGTATATGGACGCTATGCTAAGCTCATTTTATTTCATAATTATGCCTTTGCAAGTATAGCTATATATAAGTGTGTGTGTGTATTGTCATATATGAAGCGCTGCTGAGAGCGCTCACCTATTTGCACTAGCCTAATGTGTCGAACGTTTGAAACGATAAGATTGTTTGGAAGCCTAATAAACGTATGAGACTTAAAATTAAACTAGTTATATCCAGTATATATAATATATATGTACCATATATACCTATATAGATAAGTACGCAAAAAATGTGCTTAAGACAACTATGTAATTTAAATGTAAATCAAAATGTGCGCTTGGACTTAATAATAACCGCTGTACTTAGAACTGAGTTTCATCTTTTCACACGCACGAATTAATGCAAACGAATCAGAGTCCTGCGTAGTATAGTGTAGATCACAAATGTAAGGCCAAATGTTTTGTGCTCTGCTTGCTTGAGAAGCTAATCAGTCACTTAATCAGTCACCGCAATCAAATCGATAGACGACGTATTACCGACTTTGGTACAAGCGGGCAACAGTGTGACCGTCTTCGCGTCCAAATTACGTGTCGTCGATATGGATCCACCGTTGCCGGCAGTCGTGGTTTGGAAAATGTCCGCAGCGCTAACGGGTAGTGAGAGCAGATGCTCGTTGCCGGGACCCAAGCCACTGCCTGTCATGCCGGCTAGGTTATGCGTTAGACTGTGGCGCCGTAAATCGCAGTTACGTCGGAAGACCTTGCCACAGGAACTGCAGTTATATGGCTTGATATCGGTGTGAGTGAGTAAATGAGTCTTTAGGTTTGAACGCTGATTGAAGGAGCGATTGCAGACCGGACATTTGTGTGGCGACTCCTCCATGTGTAGAATTTTATGCACGGCGAGGGTGCGCGATTGGCAGAAGCCTTTGCCGCACTCAGCGCATTTGAAGGGTTTCTCCTTTGAGTGAATGTATCTGAGGGGTGAGATTAAGGATGAAAGGAATAGAAATTGCAATTGTTATTATATGGAAAGTGTGTTTATTATTTAACGTAAAGGTTTAATTAAATATACGAAATAAAATTTTTTGTGTCAGTAAACGCAGAACTCTGCCTACCTGTGATCTCTGAGGTGATCTTGCCGACGGAATGCTTTGCCGCAGATATCGCACGAGTAGGGCCGTTCGTCGGTGTGCGTGCGCTCGTGTATGAGTAGATTGTAGGACTTAGTGAACTGACGATTACAGAATTTGCAAATGAACTGTTTCTTGGCGCGCTGTGTATTGGCAGTGGCGGTAGCAACAGCTGTACCGCCCGCAACGCCCGCACCACCACTACTAGCATTCAGCGCGTTCGCCTCATTCAGAGCGCTAGCAGCGGCACCTTCATTTATGACCAGCTGCTGGTGGTTCAGCTTGTCTTGGAACATGGTGGCCTGTAGTGATGAAATCGATTCGAGATCAGCAGATAAGGATTGCTGTTGTTGTTGCTGTGTGTTCAGCTGCTGTTGTTGTTGTTGCTGGTTAAGACAATTGAATGCGTTAGTGTTGAATATGAAGTTGTTGTAGCTACTCTCGAGTTCAGCAGCCTCAAACGACAGTCCCTCTTCGCCGTCCAGCAACGGCAGGTCACAATCACCGAGGTCACTGGTGGAGAGGTCAGTGCCGGTAGCGCCCGCATCTTGCAACAGCGTCTGTATAGTATTTGCCGCGTTGGCGTTGCGTTGCGTTTTGGCTATGTCCACAGCTTGTAACTCTTGTTGTTGTTGTTGTTGCGCTGGCGCCGCATTTGTTGCTGTTGTTGTAAGGTTATAGCTGTTATTGCTAGTTTCTTCCGTATTGATGCCACTGGTGGTGCAGCTGGCACTTGTTTCACCATCGCCGCTACCATCACTGCTGTTGTTGTTGTTGGCGGTTATGGTATTGAAGCGAAAGACGTCCGATTTGCCGGTAATTCGTTGTAGTGCCAAGTACGATTCCAACGCTTGCAGATTGAGCGCCGCTGCAGCTGGTGAATTGACGGGTAGGAGTGCGGCCTGCTGTAGGCTGCTGACCATGGTGCCCTGTAAGGAGAGCACAACTGCGGCCGCGGCGGCGAGGTCATTCGTAGTTGAGACGTTTGCCAACGTTGTTGCGTTGCTGTTGTTGCCGACATTATTGGCACTGTTATTGACATTGTTGTTGTTGTTGTTGTGATTGCTACCATTGTTGCCACTGTCACACTTAATCAGCGGCAGTGTTGACGCTTGTTGGGTGGATGGCGTACTCATGCTGAGGCCGTGATTGCCCTGCAGCTGCGCATCGTTGCCGCCGCTATTTCCATCTTTTGCCAATGCCAATGCCATGGCGGCCACGGTTGGGGGAGAAATCGTTGCGGAGGTGGAACAGGTCGGGGCAGAGTTCGTTTTCTGTATATGTGCTCTACTAGCGGCAATGCTATTATTGTTGTTGTTATTGGCGCTCTGCACATTCTTGTTACTGTTGCTCTGTTGTTGCTGCTCAAGTGCAGCTGCAACGGAAGTGGCATGCAGCTCGGCGGCGCACAGTTCCTCCTTAATCAAAGTGGTCAAGGCGGCGGCTGTGGCAACAGCATTGGCTGTTCTTGTTGTTGTTATTGTCGCTGGAAATTGTACCGTTGATGATTGCACATGCACATGTCTCTGTTGTGATTGGGTATGTTGTTGTTGTTGTTGCTGCTGTAGGCGCTGTGTTTGCATTTGCTGTTTAAACTTCTGCAATTGTTGTTGTTGTGGTAATTTCTGTTGCTGACCCTGTTGCATGCCTAGCTGTGCCTGTGATTGCTGTTGTGACTGCTGTCTCAGCTGTGCATGTTGTTGTTGCTGTTGCTGCTGCTGCTTCAAATGCAGTTGCTGTTTAACACGGTTTTGTAGTTGTTGTTGTTGCACACTGTTGCCAGCGGCATTCGGGCTTATGGAGGAGTCCATCGCGCATGCGCAGCAGGATATCGCCCAATATACAGCGAACTCTTGCTTAACTCGCTGGCTGCCTGTCTCCGTGGATGCTTAGTGATTGCTAGTTGCTGCGCAAGCGCACCTACGCAAGCTAACGACCTGCTTGCTGCTGGCTATCGATGATGTGGCAGTTGTTGTGATAGCTGTAGTAGTAGTTGTTGTTGTTGTTAATATGACTTTTACCACTAGCGCTTCGTTCTTTTAGCCGTTAAACTTTGGGTAGAGAGTGTTCGTGCTGTTGTTAGTGTTGTAGCTCTTCTGCTTCTTCTTCTTATTATTACTGCTTCACTGGCATGCTGCTGCGTTCGCTTGTGAGTGCCACGAAGAGTGTATGAATATTAAAAACAACACGCCACCATAAATCACCGCTTAGTCACGCGCTCAAAAAGTCATAAAAATCGAATTTGACGTTCGTACAGAAACAACAAGAAAGTAGCAAGACACTATTGCAACCGCAGAGCTAAAAGCAAGCAAAAACCGCTGGCGTATTAACAGACAAATTGATCGACAACAACAATGAGGTTGAGCGCTGCAAAGCTTTTGTTGTTTTTGTTGCAAGAATGTTTGTGCGCCTGTTTGTTGTTGTTTTTGAAATAATTGTCTTTTTTACTTCCAGCTGCATCTGTGTGTGCGCCTCCAATCGTTCCATAAACTTGTGGTCACTGAAATAATTGGTCGTTTGCGGTCTCACGCGGAAACAACAGAAACGCCAATAGATCACACATCAAAATCCTGGCGGCGCGCTAACAAGCTTCGTGTAGCTGCTTGGACTTAAGTCGCGGCTGATGAGGCGGCGCCGCGTCGACAATTAACTGGCAATTGGGCGCAAACTGTTTCTCCCGTCGAATGACAAAGGTCACACGAGTGCAACAAGCGACGATTCGGACCACACGCACTTTGTTGGTTTAGGCACTTGAGCGCGTGTTTCCAATGTATGTAATTAACACGAGCCACGAGCTGCGTCAACAACACACAATTGAAGCAGTTCAAAGCAAATAAGCAAATACAACAAAAACACAAGCAACGCAAATAATATGTCTTATGCAATTGCTAGTGAAATGTTTTTAGGAAAATGTTGTAGTTTTTGTTGTTGTTGTTAAACTATAGTTTCCTTTTCTATCTACCTTCCTGCTCACACAATCTCAAAACTCTTGAAGGGTGGTTAATTGTTGGTTTCGTTACAGCTGTGACGCTCTGACGCTGTGTGGCTGACGACTGTCGACACTGCCTTCTTGCGATAAGGCGCCCGAATGCAAAATTATCGAGAACGCTATCAACAAAAAAAAAAATTATAAAAAAACACGCGCACAAAACAAAAACAAATACAATAGGAAACAGCTGCACCGCTGTCGCTGCTCTGTGCTTTCAGAAGTGATGAGTAAGCGTATGACGTGCGCGTAACGTGGCTTCGCGTTAAGGCGCGCACAATGTTGGGCAAGTCCACGGAACAACTAAAAGTCCATTGCGTCGCTGGTTTGACGCGGACCTCCTGTGCAACAAGCAGAGAAACCAAAACCGGCGCGCTGCACAAACAATCGCACACACACATATTCAATGTAGACAAACCTGCCAGCCGAGGCAACGCGCATCGCTACTCACTCATTTGCTCAGCGCACTCACCTCAGCACCCATATAAACGCAAGCGCATATACTGAAGAGCAGCGTCGCACACCTATGCCGACGCGCGCACACATAAACATATACATGTTCATATATAAAAAATCCATACAACTACGATCAGTCGACAGCGCTGTATGTGTGCGTTTGTGTAAGTGCAAGTGCATGTGTGAGATCGCAAACTGAGTCGAAACACTCTTCTAAAGAGCGCATGATTTCACCTAGTCAAGGTGGTGGTGATTTCTTGTCTTTGAATGTGTGCGTATTAAATTGCTCGTTCACACACGCTTGCAGCGCGTATACTTCCACTCGTACACAAATGAATAACCAGTTTCTTGGCGATCTTTTTCTTTTGCTGCCTCTTAACGGGTTTGCTCTCTCAAACACTTTTTGCTCCGACAAATGTTAAGACACGTTGAGATTAAATAGTTGCAACCCGCAGAACGAGTTAGCTTGGACCGGCGTTAACTGATTGCCAACGCACGCTTGCCGCCGCTTAATGGGTGGTTCGTTCGTTGGCTGACTGGCTAGCTGGCTGAGTGGCGAAATCCAGGCTTTAATGTAGCGATCAATGGCAATGCAAACGAGTTGTAAACTCGCGTGGGTGTAGTTATTTATAAACAACAAACCAGCAACGACGATCGAATTCTCTTGATATTTAAATGAGAAAGACAACAGCTTATAAATATTTATATACATATGTATGTATGTTTGTAATTTAATGAAATTAATGATAAAATAACACCTTCGAATAAAGGCCTAACACGCTTTTTATGAGATTTGGGTGAATTTTATAAATTTATAAAAGAAATTAGTAAGCTTTTGTTCGCCACGAAAGAAATCTCGTTCGTTATTGCGACGAATTGTGCAGACATGTGATTTCAATTTGCTATACTGTAGTCTTAACAACATGCGTTGCAATAAATTTACAACAACATTTTAGTCTATTTCGTCAAGAACGATCGTATTTTATAGAAAATTTATTTAATTGCCATAACTAAGCAATATATTAATTATAAGTTTAGTAATAGTTTTTTATTTGTTTCATTAATTTGTAAAAAGTACTTCACGAACTGTTGGCATCAAAAAAGTTTTAAAGAGAGAAACAACCCAAGAAACTTAAAGACCTAAAAACTTTTGCCAACAAGAATTTACAAATTTTTGTTGCTTTTGAATCCAATATACTTGTAGATGGGCCGTGAGCTCAAAGCTAGTCAAGAAGTGCATAACCTCACTAGCAGTAGCATCAAGCTACTTCCATATTCCAATTTTACTGGCTATCTGAACGCAGCGGAATCGTCGGAAATTGTAAAGCCGATGAGCTGGCAATAAAATGCTTTTAAATTTCCACAGAATGGGAACGAGCAGGGCTTACTCTGTCTTTGTGCACTCGAGCGCTGGATCTATGGGCTTCGCGCGAGTTCAGCAAGCGTTGGTCAACAGCCTTTTGGAAAAGAGTGGAACGTAAAAGGTCCATATATTGAACTGTTAGCTCTTAGCAAGGCTTACATTGCCGCACTGATAGGCGTCCTCACTGGATACTGTTCCATTGGCACTCACGCGGTGAGGTTAAAGATTTTGGGTGACGCAACTTGCAATGAGGAAGAATTAGCTGAAATTTATACTAGTCGCCTTAAGCCATTTGTGGCAGGTTATAGGCGTTTTGTCGATATGCGATAGTCTTTTTGATTCGTAACTAGGAATTCTGGGCATCGAAACGGACAAGCGTCTCTACCAGTCCAATTGAGACTATTCGTGGCTTCACGAGAAATCAGCCTATTTACCTAAACTAACCTAAACTATTCAATATAGATCGGAATTCTTCAATACAAGCCACCCTTCAAGGGATGTTATAGATTTTTGCATATAAAAATACTGTAGAAGTATAATGTGTGAAAAATATATAATATAGGTAAATTCGGGTGGAAATAATCATTAAATAGTCTCACAAACTGAGTGAATTTAAAAAGTATGAAATATTACGAGCCTTTTGACTTTCAAAAAATGTAATTGTACATTTTATTAAACCGTATTCCTTATGTTTTTTACTTAGATATTTTATATAAGTATATTAAATCCTCTATACTTTTCTCGTTTATTTTATGATGTTACACGCAATACTATTATACCCTCTGTTCGACGTGTTGCCGTATATACCACATAATCTTTATTAGCGTCTGCAAGTTCTTTAGCCGATAAAAATGGAGCGATAACAATCTGTGGTTACCGCTAAGCCCCCCATGGCATATCCATTAACTAAAACACGTACCTTAAATGTTTCGATAACCTGAGTAGAACTATTTGAAACAACCATAGTGATAAGATAAATAATAATTAGTGAAAGTTTATGGATGTCTTGGCATGCGTTATCTAACTTTCTCTGAAAGTGTCGCAATGGAATGCAGATCTGAAAAGTACTCAAAGTTTTGCAAGGTACTTAGTATTATACAATGATGAAAATACAATCATTACTAAAATTTAATAATATATATTTTTTTAGTAGATAGAATGAATAGAGGTATGCATCGCGACCTATGGTCTATTTTGCCCTATTTTTTATAGTAGAAAATGTTATACAATGTGATGTTGCATCAAAATTGGGATTCTGAAAATTTCTCTGAACACCGAAAACTGTTGGCATGGTACATATCAGAGCGAGAAAGAGATTGTATGTAGTTACTGTCAGGAAAATTGCTTGGTTAGTCTGTAAATTTTCTTAAGTCTGCATTGAGTGAAAGCGAAGCGATGTAGTGCATATAGATATATTTCCAGACGTTTATAAAGAAGCTGCTTAAAAATGAATAGTAATTTCAAAATGTTTACTTCCTTAAGCTCTTACTGCTTCATAGTGTTCATATAAATCTGACCGTAGCCAAGCATTTTTGGCTGCTTACCTTTCTAAACTATAGTCCACCACGTCCAGCCCTTTTCGATATACCTTTAAGTATCTAGCCATTCCATTAGGGTGGAGCGAAAAAAAATTTTTTTTAGCCTGAGGGTAAAATTTGTAGATTATAAAAAAATAAAATTTTTAGAAAAAAAATTTAACATCTTTTAGAGTAAATTTCAAGTTAAACATTTTTTTTGTTTTAAACTCTTCACATTTTTATAAAAATTACTCAATTTGACGGTTTTTGACTCAACATTTATTTAACGCTTAAGGAAAGCATGTTGTCGTTTAAGACGTTTTTAAAACTCCAATAATGACCACAAACAATTTTTTTAAGTTGATAACTTTTAATTGGCCGGAAAGAGGACTCTACACAGCTTCTAGAACACTTATCAAAAATTGTTTACGCAAAAAAAATTTGTATTCCAAAAAATTTCTTTTTTTTTATAATCTACAAATTTTACCCTCAGGCTAACCCTACCTTCCATATACATATATTATGTAGGTATGTATTTTTTTTTTTAAAAAGGGCACTTTGCCATCTTTTTGTACGATCTCAGATATGAGTGTGTATACAATTCTCCGAATATATTTCAATTCCTCTTATCATCCTTAATTCACTAAAAGTTGTAATTAGGCGAACGCGTTAATAACTTATTTGGATCATTATACTCATGCGCATATGTAAATGGATTGCATGTGCACACTTATTACGGTTATAAACTCTGGATCAACTTTTAATTGCTGGCAAGCGCTCATACAGCCAGAGTAACCAGTGGCTGTCGGTAGTCGGTTATCGGTTGGGCTGCAATTCAACTTAATTTCGTTTTGCGAAACGTCTCGCTGTTTTTGGCATTCTTTCATAATTTTACTTTTGATGCCTGCAATTGGTTGGCATTTTTAGGCTTTCTTATTTACGCGAGCTCTCATTTCGTTTTCAAGTGATAAACGACGGCGCAATCAAATGTGCCGAGATCGAGGAAGAAGCTGCCTATCAGGTCCGCTAACCGACTGGTTGACTTACAGGTTGGCTTGCATAAGCGCTTGCACGTCCAGGGCAACAGTTGTCTACTCATACCGCTGTCGGTATGCCAATCGGCGATGTGTCCGTCTGTTCATCAGCCGGCCTATGTGCCTATTTGCCTGCCCACTGCTTTCTGCGTCGCATACATAAGTGTGTGTGTGTGTGTGTGTAGTAGTAGTAGTAGTAGCATTGGCATTCGTGCAGCATTTCCACAATTTATTTCAGCATTAAATTGCAATTTTGCTCTAAAAGTTTGCGCTTAAGCGTTTTCCACCGCTTATACAGATATTATTTTGATTAATGCAGCGCAAACATGTCATTCGCTCGTTTCGCTTGATTAACCCAAACGAACTGAACTGCCATAAACGGAGAAGCTGCAATGGGTTGCGCTGAGTTTAGTCGAGTTGCGGCGCAATGCCGCGCTGGAGCTGTGACTACCTCTGGATGTTTGTGTTGGCGCGAGTGATGATCTGCACAGCGCTTCGACAGCAGCAGTGGTGCGCGTTTGCGAATCGCTCAAACGCGGCTGCAATATGTGGCTGTCGATAGCTGGACGGACGATGGCGCGTGTATTGGCATGACTGACCATCACTGGCTCGTTAGCTGAGTTAGCATTGCACGCGGTCATTTTGGCTTCGACAGACGCGCATTAAATACCATGTACAAGCCCAAGTCAGACACTTACCTACATACATATATAATATATACTACACACATACACTTCAAGGCACACATATTTGCTTAGAGCAAAGGATCGCTGACCACATTCCATTGTGTTGCACTTGCAAGCCGACAATATCATTATCGTCGTGCAAAAAGCAACAATAACAGTACTTACATAAGCAACAACGCCGTAGCTCATGTCATTCAAGTACACGCGCTATTTTAAATGCGTAATTATGCCACACTCTGCCCTAAACATTGGTCCACGC